AATTTTCATTTTAAGTTTTCTCATAAGATTTTTAATAAAAAACAGACTATTAGTTTGATTTTACAGATTTTAATTATAATATATCTGTTTAAACTCAATGGTTTATAAATTAAAAGCAAAGTCTACTTTTATTTGATATTACTGGTATTAAATTAGAATGCACTTAACGACCGTAAACTATTTATTAATTATTAATATCAAAGTTTAAAATACATTTGGAAATTAACAGTGTTATATAATTACTTATATTATATAACTTTTATAAGATATTCTAACAAGTAAGATTATAAGCAGACTTTGCTTCTATTGTTAGCCTAATTTTGATATACATTATTGATACAAATTGAACTAAATATACACATTACCGGGTTCAATGTTCAAATTTTAGAAATATAAAATAAATTTAATAATATTTATTTGAATAATATTGTCTGGACATATTTACAAGGACACAAAATAATCATTTTATTTTAAAATTGTTTTTCAAACTCGCTAGCTATCAATCTATCTACTTATGGGCCATTCAATAAGTACGTACGCAAAAATTTGTCTAAAAATTGACCCCTCCCCCCGACACGCCTTTCGTACATAGGACTTTAACATTGTGTACGCATGCCTTGGCTGACCCCCAATGCGTACGTACTTATTGAATGAGCCCTTAATGTTGTACATTTAACGTTGCAAATATACTTTATAAATATTATGTAGCTTTTGAAAAAATGATTAAATTCAATCCTTATTTATTTCTTTTATTTCAATGAATGTATAAATTGATATTAATTAAAATGATAATTGTACTAAAATGCCCTTTTCTGCTATTGACTTACAATAACTAAAATCTACATCTAAAATATTCTCTACTAGTTTTACTAATTGAATAATCGTAACAAAATAAAATAATTACGAAAATTATATTTTTTGCTTAATTATCATTTAAAATCAATTTGAACCGAAGTTCAGTTTATTTGTTTTTTAATCAATTTTAAAGTCACGCCACAAAAAGGCTCTCCCATCTGATAATGCCATTGATATGACAGATGTTCACAATAAGTATTTCCTTATAATTTCCCAATTAATTCAAGTATTTATTTAATATCACAATTTCGTTTGACGTGTAACTGAGATTTTAAAACCTAGTACTGTATATGAGTATTATAATTTTTATTATCGTAAATTATATGCAAAATAAATATTTGTTTTAACGTTGATTCAACTCTAAAAAAATTGGCAAAAATAGGGAAAAACTTTGTTGAAAACAAATCAAGTGTAGTACGAAAAAAGTGCGATCACTCTCGTTATCGCATTTCTCAATATCAAAAGTGCAATCATTTATCACATTTCCAAAAAACATGAATAATATAAATTAAATTCATAATAAGTGATGACATAAAGCAAAATTTGTAGAAAAGGTATGCAAACACTGAGGAATATTCTGGTGTCGTGTGATCTATAAGTTGCCAATCAATTACATAAACAGATTATAATCGCACTCATAGGATAAAAACAAGTAATATATGCCAATAATAAAAATAAATAAACATTTTTATCTTTTCTTTTGTTTATTTGTCGTGTGATCTATAAGTTGCCAATCAATTACATAAACAGATTATAATCGCACTCATAGGATAAAAACAAGTAATATATGCCAATAATAAAAATAAATAAACATTTTTATCTTTTCTTTTGTTTATTTTAATTTTTCGAAACCAATTGCCTATTCTTTCCTTTAAATCAAACGAGTTATGACTTATGAATGCCTTTCAGATATGAATAAAAATGCTAATATTATTTACAAATTTCATTCATTGCATTCAATTAATTTCACTTATAATCAGAGTCAATGTTGTAAACATTCAAACGGCTCATTTGACCCTAATTTTTGATTTTATTGTTGTTTATTAGAAAGCATTTGTAGATTTACCACAAGTTATGTAATTTTAAAGTTTCAAAGATTATATGAATTAATAAATTTTTTCTCATAAGATAAGAAGAAACTTATTTCGCGTGATAACCAATATCTATGGAAAACATTTACACTTAATGAGCCAATTATTCCTAAAACTGGTGTTATGTTTATCTAAACGTTTCGTATATAAAGAGTAGGACAGACACCTAATACAATATTAAACTCATATTTAAAAGACTTTTTAGCGGTTTTGCACTTCATTTGCAAACAGCCTTTTCTGAGAATACTTTCGAAATATAGTAATTTGTTTACTTCACTTACGGGGCATTCCCTTCAAATTATACCATATAAAAAAGCTTTTGCTTTTGATTTTTATGTTATATATATTTAAAAGTTTATATATTTTGTGAATAAAATGAATCAATTGTTAAGAAATTATTTATTTTTGTCAACACTTATAGTTGTGTCAATGTTTGCCTCATATTCTTATTGTAAGCCAATTGATGGGAAAACTGATTTGTTATCGAAAGAAAAACTCACAAAAAATTTTGTGCAAATGATTGCCGAAAATATGGAGCAGAATCTTTGGCCGGACAGACATTTAGTAAAGAGGCAAACTACGGGCCATATGATCAAGGTCCGAAAGCCCACACTATCGTTTCACAGCCAAAATGAACAGTTGGTTCAACGAAATAGTAACTAAATGTCAAATATCTATACATTCATCGATTCATCAGAGATGTGGTCATTAATGGTCAACAGTTGTATACAAACCATATTCTACTTAAACGCATGAATTTGTTGACAAATCAAAGAATATCCGGAATATTGGATCGCGTGTTGAGCTGAATATTGCTCCCATTGGTTGGCATTTCATTTGTTATCAGTTATTTATACAAGAAATTCCTTGAAAATTTGTTTTTTACATTTTAGAGAGCGTTTTTATATTATAATTATAAGTTTTGCCAAAAAAATTATTCTACTTAAAGCATGTTTTAAAATGACACTGAACTATAAGGCATCCCCAACTCGCTTATCACTGCAAAGTTATAAAGTTCAGGAATAAAAGCATAGGTAATACTGTAACTAAAGGTAAGTATTACATTTTATTAAATATTGTATAAAACCGTTTTCAAAAGCGTTTAAAACGTTAAAAACAGAATTAATAATAAAATTTAGTTAACTATTTTCGGAGCATAAGTTAAATATTGAATTAATATTGAATTGACTGAATGTTTTTTATTATCAATCATATTGCAATTTATTTCTTAAGACGAATTGTCACATATTTTTATTTTATTGTAAATAAAAACTTATTTTTCAAAATATTTTTATTATGCATGTTTCATAATTTTCGTAAATAAAAAATTATTAAAACAAAACTCAAGTATCCTTTGACTACAAAGTTATGTCATTTTGAAACACATGTAAAAGAATTGAATGAATGAAAGGGATTCTATGTATAAGAAATACTGTGCATTGGGTTAAGGAATGGTAAGTCTTTTGCAAAACAACTCGTGTTTGACGGATGTGTTGGAAAAATAATTTATTATTCAAGTGTTTGTCAAAAGATTTCCATATTTATGCCTAATCTGGCAAATTCTACCCAATCGTGTGGCATTTGAATGCATGAAACAAATGATTGAGTTGTGGTTTTGGTGCCAATTAGTAGATATAAATTTAATTACAATTTTGAAATGACCGTATATCTAGAATTGGTTATCAAATTATACAGAAATCAGTGGAAATCAAATTGAAAGGAAATTCAGTGTGAAGTTTGGAATAGAGTGTAAAATGAATTAAATATTGTTATCTTTTAGTTTTAAGTAATTTGATATTTGATTAAATTCTTTATAAATTTTTTAAATTTCAAAGAAATATAATTTATTTAATTTTAGCACTTTATTGCTGATAATTTTGTAAACATAATATACCAATAATCGAATTTTTGTAAGATTTATTAGAAAACTATAAAATTCTGTCAAATATCAAACTTTTAAGCAAAAATATGTTACATTAATTACTAGTCATAGACATACAGTAAGGCACTGTAAGCTTTACACTGTAAGACAGTGCATCCTATATTTTGTAAAACTCTGCAAAATACTGGTCCTTAAACAAAATCTGACAAAGTTATAATTCAATGATATAAAATATTTGATATGATATATTTGATATAAATTTATGAATTTATGAATTTTAAGCTAAAATATTTGCTGAACTGTGCAATACAATAGGTTTAAAACTACATTACAGTACATTAAAAGTACAGTAGTAAACCATCACTAAATTACATCGATTATCAAAATATAGATATTATCTGTTGGCACATAACTATGAATTCACACTCTTGTAGTTAATCTTTTAAAATTGTCAAATAATTGTGAATTATACTGTACAGTATGCACTTAAATGTTACGTTACGTTATACAGTATATGCACTGTTATGATTCATAACTATGATATGAAAAGTTAAAATTACCATTATTTATTTCATGCATTAATTAAATAAATATCAATTTCAAAACAAATCATTTTTAAGTAAATATATTTTTAATTCTCAAAACCTTATTTTATGTACAATGCAATCATTGTTTACAATCGCACCAAAGATTTGCCACTCAAATAGTTTCCCAAAATTACTGTAATTGAGTCTTCAATTGATTTTATTTGTTAAAATTCAAGTCAAATAAAACTTTTTTTTTGAAAAACTCAGTATTTAAGTAATTAATATATCTTAAAACTTAAACAAAGAATTGAATAAAAATCAACTAAATTAAGAATTTTGTTTAAAAATGGGTTCAATGTCTTCGTCCTCTTCGGTCAGATAATTGTTCCACAAATGTATTATCACAAGAGGTGTGTTATCTCTGATGAGATGACAACTGGTCTTAAATGTGAAGATCCGGATAAACACTAAGTCTATGAAAATGCGATTCACAGCCGAAGAATGGATCCAAATACCAAAACATTTATAATAATTGCATATTATTTAAAATTTCAATTATAACTTAGACTTAAATTTATTATAATTTACAAACATTGATCTCTTTACAAAAGCCAAATATTATATATAATTTAATAATAGAAACATTCATTTAGTATTAAACAGATTCAATGACTTGGGTCTGGCATGGGATGAACCGGACTGCACTATGCCATCGTCCGTAACGATCGTCACTCTATTGAATAAGCCTTGACTGAAATAATCGGATATAACGCTAAAACAATCGTCCGTTTCTTGAATTTGTTTGTCAAACATTTCGTTCACATTCTTAATGTTCTCAAGCGATTGGATTTGATTTAAGATTTTTCTACACATTTCGACAAAAATGACTTCAATTACAACACAAATCAAAAACACAGAAATTAAATGTATTTAGTTTGGATAAAAGTCCGTTTGTCTCGCCTGTTAGCCTTAGTAAGAGTCGGCGTATCGAGAGCTTCGTCACGACTACTATCCTTACCCTCGTGTACTTCACCTGCCTGCCGTCAAGGTCCCCCAGCTTACAGGCGGAACACTTGGTCGCCTGAAATACTTTAGGACTAGTCTTCATATCCTCGATCTGTTGTCGCATCCTTTCGGTGTCGTCTTTGAATTGATTGATAAGTCTCTCGTTTTCTGCAATCTGTTCGCTCTCTCGGGTTAGCCATCGGATCAAATAGTCCTTAACCACAGCGAGTGTCGCGCATTCACTGCGCGACAAAATCTCAATAATCATAATGGGCTGAAGTAATCGCTTCCTTTCAATCTCTGAAATGTCAGTAACCATTGAAATGAACTATAATTGAAAAGATAAATAATTCCAGAAATAGTCGTACCGTTTAAGACTTGAATGGTTTTATCGTTATCATCGGTGTTGGAGAAATACCAGAGCGCGTCCACCCAGAGGTTAGGCTCTTGATCGCCATACTTCTGACACGTTTCCAAGACTTTTGTGGAATTATTTGTGGCGATAAAATTGTTGAGAATCTGTTTGAACATCTTGGCCTTTTCGTACAGGTATAGGAGTCCCGCATCAAAGTGACTCATTTGACACAAAACCATCGCCTGTTCCACTTCGTACTTAGCCTTTCCGCTCTGCAATAACTTCATAATTTGTGACTCTTTTGTTGCCAAACCCTGCAAACGAACGAATAGATTATGCAAATGAATGACAAATGAGACAAAACACTCACATCTTCTTTAATCTCATTCTTATAGGATTGCAAATACAGTTCGAGTAAAGTGTTGTGAACTTCTGGAGTGCAGTCTTCCTCACGAGTTTCAATCATAAATTCTAAGAACTCTATCAGTTTTGGAGTATTTTTTACAAATATGTGAATAAACTCCTCTGGATTGGACCGGTTGACTGACAATACGTCTAAACCTAAAACAATCAAAAATACTTTCAGATAAAAGTTATATACGGAAAAAAGCATACACTTAATAATACCTGTTATGACACTGTCTTCGTGTAAATTATCTAAAAACATAACAAAAATAATTGAAATTAAAAATAGAGACAATCCGTAAGTCATTCTTACCATTGGATGGCTTATAGTCAGTGCAAAGTCTTTTGAGGAGAAGTGTTGTCTTATCGGGTTCTTCTTGGATCAGTTGGCGTCCATATCTCTTCACATAATCGCTGACTTCAATCCAATCCATTTGTTTCATATAATCGATGGCAGCGTTTGCGTCACATTTGTCTTCTAAGATGATCCGGAGGAAGGAATCGCTGCGTTTGTGTCTTTGCGCCAAATAGAGAGCGGTGTCGTAATAGTTGGCGTTTCTCAACACTTTGATCGCTATCTCCACATCGTATTGACATATATTTGTGTCACTTTCAGCAGCCATCAGGAACTCGTCGAGACGTGTCTTATCCTTGAGCTTAACGTAGCAATTGATGAGAAGAGTGGTGTGGTCTTCGTTGGCCAAACCCTTTCGGTGTAAGGCTTGCAGATAAGCGGTTAGATTATTGATGCGCTGAGAGTCGAGAAATTTGCGGATCACATAACTGGCCTCAAGTCTGCCTATGGTGTGAATGTACTGAGCGATGGCGGCGTCGTAATCGGCCTTTCGGTACAAATGGTCGCCGTATTGCTTGAAGATGTCTGAGAGGGCGTCCGAGTCGTACTGTTGACTCTTTGCCAACTCAATGGCTAACGAGAACTGATTCTTCTTGAATAACATCTCGAGTTTGGTTTGAGTGTCGCGTTCTCTCAGATACACGACCCGTCCGTCATGTGTGAGCAGATATAGTGAACCCCATTCACCAAACACTTCGCTCACCGACGGAATGGGAGACGAATAGGCGATAAATTTGCGCGAAATGTCATAAATAGTGATTATATTCATGCTTTCGGTCCCATTTGGGGCTAATTTGTCGCCATTTATGGCCACACTTGTGGTCTCTTTGCCGATAACTATGAGATAACTTCTGTACCAATAGAGTAGGAGTTTCTCGCCCTCGAAGGCCAGACACGGTCCGCGTTCGTCACTCTGATAGAAATAGATGGCATCCTTGCGGCCCACGATATACAGCGCTTCCAACTGTTTCGGATCATTCTTGAGACACGAACACTTGACATCACAACCAAACGAATCCAGTACTGACTTCACCTCTTTGTCTCTCACCGTTACGTTATAACTGATTATCTCTTTTGTGGTCGAAATGAAAAGTATAATCTGTTTGTGATGTGTCTTCACATTCTGGACACTATTCAACTTAAACGAGAGGCCAGTGACAGGACTCGAAGAGATGGCAATCATTTTCTGTTTGCAATTCTTCTCACGCGTTATGTCTCCTCTGAACAGAAGTATATTCCCGTCGGCGAAGGCGATGCACATCATTAGAGTTTCCAACACATCGATGGCAGTGACCGGGGATGGTATGGGTCCCGTCGATAGCCGTATGACACGACAGCAATGGGGTACTCCATCCGAGTTGAGTTTCTCGCGGTTCCATATCTTGACGACGGGATTGTCTCCCGGCTCATCCGCACCAACGGTCACCAGATATGGGAATGATATCACTTGATGGCAATGAGTGACAATCACTTTGTACGCTAAGAATGACGAGAACTGCAACTGTCTGTCAATCGTGTGAATCCAACCATTGCTGTCGCCAACAATCACATGAGATCCACCAGAACTGGAACAAGTGATCCGTGTTTTCTGTACATCACCGAAGACATTGTCAGCTGTTCTTAAGACAATTGCCACAAACAATACATACATTAAACAACTCTTGCAATGGATTCGTCTCCTCTTTAAGTATCTGTTTGTCAAAGAAGTTAAATCTTCGCCACTAAACAAAGCAAACCATTAGATGCACTCAAATGTAATGCAAACGTCAATAATACCTGAAGTAATGCCATATCGTGTCAAATATCACCCATTCATGTGATCACTAAAACTTTAAGTGAAAACACTTTTTGTTGACTAACTGTAAGGCGTTTTG